GAGAGAGAGAGAGAGAGAGAGAGGCGGCGATGGCGAGGCACTTCCTGCTCAACACCGGGGCCAAGATCCCCTCGGTGGGGCTCGGCACCTGGCAGGCCGACCCCGGCGTCGTCGGCGACGCCGTCTACGCCGCCGTCAAGGTCCGCGCAAACCCCACCTAACCCCCACCCGCTTCACCATCCAGATGGATGGCATGTCATGTTTTCCCCCCTTGGTACAATCCTGTTTCCTGGTTCAGACGAGATCCTTATTCTCTTCTTCGATGCAGGCGGGGTACCGGCACATCGATTGCGCCAGAGTCTACGGCAACGAAAAGGAGGTAACTATCATCTGAGCACAAGATAATCCTATAAATCATTTTCCTTTTGTCAGCCCTGTATTTTTGCTTAATGTGTGAAAGATCTGCTACCCTTACAAATGCAACTAGGATAGCATAGTGATATAATCCTATAAAACCTTTTCCTTTTTCAGCCCTGCTTTTTTCCTCTTAATGTGTGCATGATCTGATAACCTTGCAATGTAACTAGGAGAGCATAGTGATACAGCAACTACCGCAATTTGCAAATGATATTCCCTTAATCATCTCAGCAACATATTGTTATTCTAGGAATTTCTTCTGTCCATCTGATGCGCAAAATATTGGCACTATGTGACATGGTCTCATAGTGAACCTGCTTAGGATTTAAAATAAAGGGTTAATTTAGTCAGGACTCAGGACTGTTTTTGAAGCTCGGTTGGACAAATTGACATGACATCCACAGCTGACAAGCAGCGTTTGTCCCCTCTTACATTAAGACATGTGCTACCCACAGTATCGTCTTGATTCATGTCGCAAAACAGTTGGAGCAATGGAAGCCTGATATCACTAAGGTGGCCGTGGTTCGAGTGGCGATTGGTACTTACCAGTGCCCTGTGATGATGTGACAGAGAAATGTTCAGAGCTTGCACTAAGATTATGCTTGGCAATGGCGCCAAGACACAGTTTTGCCATGATCATTGGTTGCATGTGTTTTCCCTCAAGATGGCTCTCCATTCCTCTGCTCAGGAAAAGGCCAATAGAAGAAGCATTTCTGTAAAAGATGAGGCCCCTGTTTCAGGGTCGCATTTTGCAGCCGGAGCTTCAGAAGATTTGGTGCACTAAAGCTGAGAGCAAGGTTCACATATGACTCATGATTCAGAACAGGTTATGGGCTGGCCCCATTCTCCTACATGGATGATGTGCGACCTTCACTCAGATATGCGCCCCTTTTTTTTGCACTGCTTGTTTGTGAAGGAGCTATGGAGGAAGATATCCTGCTCATCTCCGGGAATTGCCGCTGCGAGTTCGCATGCCACTTTGCTGAGAGGATGATGGAGGAAGGTCTTTTGCCAGGACACAGAGAATGGCAAGAAGCAATTGGATTGGGCATATATGCAATGTGGCATATCTGGAAAGAGAGAGACAAGAGGATTTTTCAGGATAAATCGGCAAATGTGGAGACTGTAATTTCCATCTTGAAGGAGGACATTGATGTGCTCCGGGTTGCCTGGAGCGAGCGTGTTTGGAAGTTGTAATTTGGAGGGTTATAGAGTTGTTGCTTTCCCTTTTTATATTTTCTGGAAGCTGTCTAAGCTGATGTACAGTTTTCCACATTCTCAATGCAAAAGCAGAGCTCCTTCTTTTATCCAGATCCTGATATCCATTATTTTCATTATCCAGATCGGTTTGGCGTTGAAGAAGTTATTTGAAGAGGGCGTAGTGAAGCGTGAAGATCTGTTTATCACCTCTAAGCTATGGTAAGCCCAAATCTCTGGTGGTATCTTAGTAGTTATCTCTCTACAGCCCAGGCAAGTACATACATGCCTATTTGAAGTTTTTAATCATTCACGTCTAACTGATCTTGGATGTCTTATGGTTTCAGGAATGATCATCATTCTCCTGAAGATGTGCCAGAGGCACTAAATGAAAGCCTGAATGATTTACAGCTTGATTACTTGGATCTTTATCTTGTGAGCATCTCCTATTTACTACTCCCTCCTTTCCTAAATATAAGTCTTTTAGAGTTTCTATATGGACTACATACGGATGTATATAGACGTATTTTAGAGTGTAGATTCACTCATTTTGTTCCGTATGTAGTCCATATTAGAATCTCTAAAAAGACTTATATTTAGGAACGGAGGGAGTATTATATTGCAGTGCCCGACTTCCTCTATTCCGGCCTCTATATCATTAATATCTCGCTTTGTGTGTACTGATTCACTACTTTTGTATATTATCCTTTTATTCTATTTTATTAGAACGCCTCCTCAGCAGGAAATGGACATTTTATCATACTTAAATGTTAATCATATTTGCTGACAAAATTATGTATCTGTGTTAGTTTATTGTGTGCTATTTCCATGGTATATAATGTGAAAACTGGGCATATGGTTATGTGCCATTTATTGAATAAATGTGCTCCTTTTCCCTGAATTCTGTCTATTCATATAGCCATATTACACCCATGGATGTTTTTCCATCTTATTTGGTGTGGATTGACATGGGTGTTATTGATTTCTGGTGTCAAATTGTTTATTGTTAGAAGATCACTTCGGTTGTTTGTTTTTTGGCATCTTGAATACATTGCAGCAAAGATTATGTATTGTTCAATGAGTTTTATCTTTTGTGTTGTTTTCAGCTTAGTGTTAGATGGGTACATGTTGAAACTGTTTAGCATGATAATTTGATTACAATCTCTGACCGTCTGTGTATTTTGTAGATCCATTGGCCGTTTAGAGTCAAGAAGGGAACGAACAACAACCCTGAAAATTTCGTTACACCTGACTTGCCTGCTACTTGGGGGGCAATGGAGAAGTTACATGATGCTGGCAAAGCTCGCGCCATTGGCGTGAGTAACTTCTCATCAAAGAAGTTGGGTGACTTGCTTGCTGTAGCTCGTGTATCTCCAGCTGTTGATCAGGTGGAATGCCATCCTTGCTGGCAGCAAACTAAGCTCCACAACTTTTGTCAGTCAGCAGGTGTTCATCTTAGTGTAAGTCGATTACCCCAAGCTATTTCTATATTAGTGTGATTATCTATTTTTTTGACGCGTCTTGTGCCTTATTTATCACTCAAGAAGCTGGATTGCTTTTGCTGAATATTTTGCTGTTGTCCTATTTTCATTGTATATGTTTTGCAGGCTTACTCGCCACTCGGTTCACCTGGTACTACTTGGATGAATGGTAACATCCTTAAAGAACCAATAATCATCTCAATATCCGAGAAACTCGGGAAGACACCTGCACAAGTGGCTCTGCGCTGGAACATTCAGATGGGTCACAGCGTGCTACCAAAGAGCACGAATCAAGAAAGGATAAAGCAAAATCTTGATGTTCATGATTGGTCAATTCCAGATGACATGCTTGCAAAGTTCTCCGAGATTAAAGAGGTATTCATCATATATGCACCGAGTAACCTTAACAATTCTTTAATGAGGATAAAAGCATTGTTATTTATTGATGATAGTTGAACATCTTCATAGGATACCATGGAATTTCAAAATGTCTCCCTCCGTCCGAAAATACTTGTCTAGATACATCCATTTCTCCGTCAGGTATTTTCGGACGGATGGAGCACCTTGTTATGCATTTCTTAAATTAATACTCCCTCCGTCCGAAAATACTTGTCATCAAGATGAATAAAAGAGGATGTATCTAGATGTATTTTAGTTCTAGATACACCCCTTTTTATTCATTTTGATGACAAGTATTTCCGGATGGAGGAAGTATGAAATTATCCTGATGAACATATCACTGGGTGGAGCATGCTAAATTGCTAGGGTTAAGTAACATCTGTAGTTTTCATGCTTCATGAAGCTTGGAGCACCAGTGGACAGTGGTATCGTGACAGGATTCTTATAAATTCATACGATTTTATCTAATCTTCATTTTTGCTCGCTACAAAGGGCACAGCTGTGTGTCACTTGGGTATATATTATTCAATGTAAATAGCTTCAATTCTGCATGGATTCACCTAAGACAAGAAAAAGTCATTTCAGCCCCTGTCATCAATTGCTTTTCTGGAAGAATATTAGTAACTGCAGCATTGGTCATATATTGAGATGTGCATTTCCAAAAAAAAGGAAGTGTATGAGTTGCTGCATAGCAAAAATTTCTAGACCGTTTTCCAATCATTCGTTCACTGTGGTAGACAGTTCCATAGATAGCGCAGATTGAGCGCATCTGACGATTTTTCTTCCGTGATCTTCAGGCTAGGCTGCTTCGAGGCAACTTCGCCGTTAATCCACAGAGCGTTTACAAGACCCACGAGGAGCTGTGGGACGGTGAGATTTAGGAAGGCTGGTATCGCTGATCCTGAGCAGGGAGCAGCACAGAAAGCATACATCTCAGGATTCGCTCTTCAGGGACGAAGGTTCAGTCCTCTGAGCTTCGCGATTCTATCCTGTATCTCGATTCGTGAACTATGTTGTCAGCAGCTTCATTATTTATGTTCTTTTAGACAAAGCTCCATTATTAGTGTGCCCTTTGGGATATTGTGCCGTGGGCGTTGCGTTTTGGCCTTTTGGATATTCTGTTCTGTTCTGAGCCCGAAGAGAATCATGAATCCAGTGCGCGATTTCTTCGCGCGACAAAAGGTCTGTCTGGCAGCAAACCAAGCGTTCAGTTATCTGTCCCGTAAGTGTAGCGAACCAAGCCTAGCTTAGATGGTTAGCTTTCCTTATGGTCGACTCCGAGACGTCTGTGTATGTGAGCGTCTTTGATTGTACTGTGTTAAAAAAAACTATATAAGGGTGCAACGAAACATGAATGGCTGAGCAAAAGATGCTACACGAAGGGGGCCTGACCTGTCTGTAGTTTGTAGGCTAATGAATGCCAAAGCCGGCGCATAAGTGAGAAACGGGTTAAGAGCTTCATAGCGATGGTGGGTGGCAGCAACGGCTGAGGGGCGCTCACAGCGATGTAGGGAAGACGGGATCCGCCCCTCGACGACGATGAGTAAGAAAGAAGAGCGGTGGCGGTGGAGAGAGCTGTAATCACCAAACTAAAACATGTTTACAAAATATAGAATATATTCCCAAATTTTAAAAATATTCAAAAAAATCTAAAAAACTGCCAGGTTCGAAACCACGTACTAAAATAGAAATTGGCATGTAGAACATCGCTTTATCCACATATTAGATTTCAAAGTATAGCTCAAGGTTCGAAACCATGTACTAAAATAGTACTAAGGCCGTGCTTGGAATGGATGTATTATAATACGGAGGTGTATAATTTACGAGTGTAACTTGCAAACTCCAGCCGAAAGTGAAACGACCGGGTGAGGTGTGTATTTTTTACAAGTGTATTTGAAAGAGAAACGGTGATCCAAACATGGCCTAAAGCAGCGACAATTAATATGGATTGAAGGTGTGAAAATGGATCATGTGGAATCAAGAAGTTTGAAACATACACAAAACTACCAGGGAGCTAGGGAAGAGCTATGCTTTGCAGCTGGAGGCTCTGCAGTCAAAATGGATCATAAACACTATGTAAGGAACGAACTGTGTTTCACACAGAACAATTTGCCACAAGAAGCTACTCTAGTCTAGTATATAAAGGAAATCAGATGCGACGACGAAGCGTATAACCCTTCTCAGGCCGCGTGGAGTTCATTTATAGTCGAATAAGATTACAAACTGGTTACAAGAGTTTCTCCAAGTAAAACCTACACAGGACGTCTAAACCTGGAGATGACAGGAGATACATTACAATATGTTTAGCCGCTTGGCCAATCAATATATTGCAGATAAGTACACACTGCAATGGATAAGACCTAGCAAAGGCTTAATAATAATACATAAAAAGCACTGCACACTCGTCACTAGCAGAAACGGTTGAAGCAATCTCCAGTGTTCAGATCAAGTCCTCAAAGCTCTTGCAGATTTCACAAATCATTTGCCGATCAGACCCCATCTCATGAGGATGGCAGCTGCAAATCCAATGCCAAAGCCCAGCCCGACGAAGAGAAACAAGATGACGTCCACATGAGAGGACTTCTCCCCACGCGCCACACTTGGAGGAGCGGGTGGAATGCCGCATGGGTTGGACAGTGGCGGTCCACACAGACCCAGATTCCCTTCAAATGAACTGTTTTGAAACGTCCCAAAAAATTGACCTGACCGAGGTATCCTTCCCACCAACTGGTTGTTGCACAAGTTCAAGATACCAAGAAAGGTGAGATTTGTTAGTGCCTCCGGAATTTCACCAGAAAGCTGGTTCTGAGACAGATCTAGTGATTCTAATTGAGTCATCCCGCCAAATTCCTGCGGAATATCGCCGGTGAAGGCATTGCCTGACATGTTTAGTACATGTAACGAAATAAGTCTCCCAAGCGATCCAGGAATGGTGCCATCAAATGAATTATTTGATAGGTCAATTGCTGTAAAAGTGGTCAAGATCTTATCAAATGTCCTATAGATGCTTTTATAGTATATAGCAACAGTGTCCTGATAGGGATCTTCATAACTTCCGTTAACAGCACGAATAATATAACCTGTAGTGTTCAACTCTGCCATCATTGATTTCAGCCCCTCAAACCAATCTGGACTCAAATTACCAAAGAAATTGTTCGAGGCAACATCAAGAACCTGCAAGCTAGAGAAGTATTCCCCAGGATTGTCATTGCTGTGAAGATCACCACCCATTGAGCCATAGAATCGGTTGGATCTCATGACAAGGACGCGAAGTCTGGGAAGTATCCCCAGCCATGTTGGAAAAGTACCTACTATGTGATTATTTCCAACGTCAAGGAACTCCAGCTGCAAGCACTTTGTAAGTGTCCTTGGAAGCTGCCCTTCAATTTTATTGTTGTTCAAGTCTAATGTGTGAAGGAAACATTGGTCTTTGATGTTGTTAGGCAACACACCTCCAAATTGATTCTCCCGCAAATTCAACACGCTCGTGTAACCATCTTCTATTAGACAGGAAGGTATCTGCCCACTGAAGTTGTTAAAAGATAGGTCAAGGACACTGATAGTTGAATCACAAATTGAGTTAGGTATGTGTCCACTAATCTTGTTTTTAGAAATCCTGAACTCTTGGCCAAGATAGAAAGTAAAGTTTGGAAGCACTGAAGAGAAATTGTTGTTTGAATAATCCAAGAAAAATGCTGACGGGCTTGGCATAGGAATCTGCCCCTGAAGCTGATTGGAACTGAGATCAAGAGTTTCCAACCGATCGAAAGGGAGAACATATGATGTAAGTTGGATAATGCTGAGAAAGTTGTGTGAAAGATTTAAATATGTGAGGCTGATGTTCCATGTCACCCATATCCACTTTGGAATAGGCCCACTGATTCTATTGCATGACAGGTCCAAGTAAGACAATTGGTTAAGGTGTGTTAATGAACTTGGAAATCCCGTTAAATTGCAACTTGCTAATTCTAACCTCATAAGTCGAGGGAGATAGGTAGACGGAGAATTTTTGCCTTCTGCATCCATGTCCACAACAGACAGGTTGTTGTTGGACAGGGTCAAATGAATGAGATTTCCCAGCCTCCGAAACAAGGAAAGATCCACCAAACCCACCAAGTTATTCCAGCCAATATCGAGATATACCAAACTTGTGAGTTGAAAGAATGACATGGGAATATTTCCCGTCAATTCATTTGTGCTCAAGTCCACGGACAGCAAATGCGAAGATGTCGCGTTGAAGTCTTGTATAGAGCCAGAGAGCTGGTTTGATTGAATATCTAAGTGTTGTAATGTTGGAATAGTGAAAACAGACGCTGGAACTTCCCCTGCATAAAAGAGTAAAGATGTTACCTACTCTGGTGCATCCGTTAGACTATCAAGCTGTCAAGCTCGAATGCCGTATACTTATTAGACTCACAACTTACTATGATGTGTAGGAGCATGCATACAATATTTAAAAAACCAGTTCAGAGAATAATACAAGTAAATGGTCAAACTATGAACTATCCCTCCCACACTAGTAATAATAGTCTGGGAATTATTCATAAATTTCAAAACCCATCTTTTCCTCCCGAATGTAAAAATAACTCTCTATTCCTTCTCTTTTTAATGTTTTAGGCATCCACTCTTGAGAAGTAAAAGGTACAACAGGACCGCAAACCCCGAGTGGATTTGTGTCTCACACTAACTTGTTGGCTTATCTTTGTCTCCTAAGGACATGTACAATGGTAAACAAGGTATCTCTTGAGCCCTTCACATCACCTATAGATGCTACACGAAAAAACATTACATGCAATGGTTGATATGGTTTTATCTCTGGTACTTAATGCTCACTTTCACAACACTGATACAACGAGATTATCATTTCATAGACTACATTCTCTCTTAATCCACTCTTCCATGCCAGCAAAAGTCTAGGTGGCATGTGAAAAGAGGGCTAACACCAGATCACTATACATGCTCTCAACCCCCTTTTTAGTTTCAATGACCAACAAGCGGAGAGAATGAATTTTGAAAAATGTGGCATAATATCTCCCAGCCCCAGCGCCGCTCCCTCCCCAGGGGCGACACGGGAGGCGAGTGCCCGGCGCCCCCCACCCTCCTCCTCCACTCGCCGTCGCTGGTGCCTCCCGCCAGCAAAGCTCGCGTGGAGCGGGTAGCGGCGGGGTCGGTTCCTTTCTCCCGCGGCGGTGTCCTCCACGAGTTGGGGATCTCATGGCGGCAGGCAGCGATCAGAGGGCGACAGCTGGCGTCGCGCCTCTTGCGTTGGCGGACGGGTGAGGTGGGCGGCCTAGGATGCGTGGGCAGCTCGGCTGCTGCGGCGGATGCCCGGGAGCGGACTCGGAGGCTCGGATTGGGACGGTCCCGATCTGTCCGCTTCGGCCAGCGACGGGGTGGATGGTGCGCCGGCTGACGGATCGGCACGAAGGCACGCAGCAGGTGCGGAGGCGCATGCGCGCAGTGGAGGTGGTAGGTCCGATCTGGGCAGCCGGGTTGTGCTTCATGCGGGAGCTTCGACTTTCACGACGGATCCGATGCTTGGTTGTGGTTGTGGCTCCTCCCTTGGCCCGTCTGGGCTTTTGGGGCCATGGTGGTGGTGGTCAGCGCTGGTGGTTGTTGTCGAGGTGCCGGCTCCGGAGGTCGCCCCGGTGGCAATGGTGTGCAGCTTGTGTACACAGTGGTGCCAGTCTTGACACTGGCAATCCACCATGGTGATGCATAGGCCGTGGCGCCATCCGACCCTATTGGTCTGGTTTCTCCATTGTTGAACACGAGCGGAGTCAAGACTTGCTCTCGCAGGTTTCCTTTGGCTTGGCTCCCACCCCGGAGTCTGTAGAGGTGGTGAGATATAAGGCTCTAGGCGTAAGCTTGATTCTTCGACCAGGGTCGATGACGGCAATGTTGGCGCTTGCGGGTGTCCTTTTCCTCCTTGGAGGCATTGCTGAAGAGCTGTCTCTCACCACTAGGCGCTGGCCGGTTGGAGTAGGAAGCGGCGTTGGGGGCTGTTGGCTCGGTCGGACCATTCCCAAGGTTCGGTGGAGCGGTTGTGTGCGGGTCTGGGCTAAAGCTTGTGGTCGACGGGGGTCGACCGATGACGATGGCGTCAGCTGATGCTACTTTCCTTCTTGAAGGCATTTTCGAAGATCTTGCTCATCACTTCGGAAAGAGGTTGTGATAGGTGAGGTGGAGGTGGTTTGTTCGTGTTGTAATTTGTGGTTGTTTTTCTTTTCTTTTAGCTTTATGGTTTTCAGCCTAGTTTGCCTCATAAATTGGGTCACTCTGTATTTTGCTTTTTCCTCTTTGAATGAAATCGGCAGAGCACCTGCCTTGCAAGCCAAAAAAAAAGTAGCATAAACTACCTGAAGTAGGACACTTTTCCAAGAGGTGGCTCGTATCTATCAACCATATGAGCAAATACATCCAAAATTCAGAACACATTGATGAATATGTGTGGGACTATATGGAAATATGCCGTGTCCCCATAACACCTAAGGGGACTAGATACAAACATTTATGTAACAAATTTACACATTGTAGTAGATGTAGGTTAAAGGGCATCTAGGCCCCGTTGGGTTTTGAAGATTAGCGACAAAATGACTAGGGTTGTAATAATCGTGTCAGGTGTTGAATAGGTTTTAAGTCTTGAGATGGTAGTTGGAAGTTGGTTCAATACCCCTAAAAAGATCTGAAAAAGAAATGGCAAGGTCTGAAAAAGATCTAAAAAGACCTTTTCCTATTGTTTGGGGATCAAGGATCACAATGAGCAATAGGTATGGCATGCTGTCAAGAGGTGAATAGGTCAATATCAAAGAGAAAGAATTGTTCCTAAGTGGCCAGAAAAAACCTTTGAAAAAATCTTCCAAGCCTCTCTCCAAAAGCCTAAGTTTTCCCTTAGTCTCTATTGCAGCTTTATCTAGTATGTACGCATGCACAGGTTGTGTCATGAGGAAGATTTGACCTGTTCTCTCTTCTAAATTTTTCTCCACCTCCTAAGAATTTTGGTTATATAGATGAAAAGAGACGACTTATGACGAATTTCTGGATTAGGTTACAGAACCAAGAGAAAGACAAGATTGAATGACTATGCAATCCCTTTTCTAAATAGTAAATAGCATAAAAACATGATAGAGAACAAGTTGCCAGCCTTTTTCCATGGTGAAATGACATTCGAGGAGCTCTAGACACCCAACAAATGATTTTGGTTTCCAATATGATTTTCACCAAAACAAAGTTCACGCTCCTAACGCACTCGAGCATATTGGATGACAAAAAGTTTCAGTTTTTTTAACCTTTTAGCTATTTGTTTTTTAATATAATGTTCATGGACGGGTAAAGATTAGCCAGGGCTCCAAAATGTCGCCCTCCTGTAGAATGACACAACCCACTCCAAAAATAATTTAGATAAGAATATACATACTGTAATCTTACCAGTTAGAAGATTAAATGAAAGATATAACCCAACCAGGCGGGTCAAATTAAATATTGAATTTGGTATGCTTCCAGAAAAACTGCACCGCCCAAGATCCAATGATGTCAACTTCTTGAGTAATCCAACATCATAGGGTATTGGTCCAGAAAATTCGCAACCGGAGATTTCTAAAGTTTCCAAACTACTAAGATTGCCTATTGCAGCTGGTATTGGCCCAAAGAAAATACAGTCCGAGATTTCCAAGCTAATCAAGTTACTGAGATTGCCAACTGAAGAAGGTAATGGTGCAGAAGAGCTTCCCAATTTCATTTGACCACCACTTATCACCAAGCTTCTCAGGTTCATGAGCTTGCCAATTGAAGATGGTACCGGCCCTAAGAAATCACAGCCATCGATATTCAAGCTTTCCAAGTTTGAGGTTGCCAATTACAGATGGTATTGGACCATTAAATCTGCAGTAAAAGATCTCCAAGCTTCTCAAATTTACTAGATTACTAATTGCTGATAGCAATGGCCCAGTGAAGCTGCAGTCATAGATTGATAGGCTTTTCAAGGATTTGAGTTTGGCAACTGAAGAAAAAGATGTCCCAGAGAAGTTCCATCCAAAGAGTTTTAAGCTTGCTAAGTTCTGCAAGTCTCCGATCGATGATAAAATTAACCCTAAATCTCTTGTGGAGTCCATCTGAGTGAGTTCCAAATGCTGTAAAGACTCAGGGTGGACGTGGCGAGCGGGCTTTCGGCCCGGCTCGCGGCCCGTTATGGACCGGACCGTACGGTCCTGGCTCGCTAAAAAACATGGCCGGTCCGGTCCGTGAAAAGGAGCCCGAAATTCGGTCGGTCCGGTCCGACAAAAGCCCGGTCCGGCTCGGAGGACCGAAGGCCCAGCCCAATTAGAGCTAATATGGAGAGCCCAATACATATACATGGTGCGTGCGTGCGTGCGTGACCTAGCCGCCGTCCTCGTCCATGCTCATGGCGCCGCACGGGCTGCTTCCTTTCTCCCCTGCGTTGCCTCCCTCTCCCCGGCACCGTGCCTCTACCTCGCGCCACCGCGTCTCTACCTCGCGCCGCCGCTCGCCCTCTCCCCCGCGCCGTCGCGCGGCCGTGTGACGCCCTCTCTGTCTCGTGCCTCTCCCTCGCGCCGCCGCGCCTCAGGTGTGTCTTCTCCAGCTCCGGCCACCGTGCTGCTGCTCCAACGACCTCTCTGACACCTTGGGCCCACATGGCAGTGACTGGACGTCACCGGGACCGTGAGGACCGCCGGTCCGCACCGAGCTTCACGCCTGCCGGTCCGGTCCGTGGAATCAAGACCGCTGCCCTGCTCGGTCCGGTCCGGACCGGACCGCCGGCGGCCGGTCCAAACGACGGCTCGGACCGGGACCGGACCGGCCCGGACCGTGTCCACCCTGAGTAAAGACCTATGAATACCGAGTGAAGATAGAGGCTCCCAGAAGCAAAACTCACATCAAGGCCTAACGTTTTCAAAGACTTGAAACTGCTAACAGGGCCTTGTTTTTCAAGGGAGAAATTGGTCCCGTCTAGCATCATTGTCTCTAAAGAGTTTGCATTGGAGAAGTTGGGCACATGCCCTGAGATACCCTGATTCCCGGATAAATCAAGAACCCGTAGTGCTTTGGATCCAAAGGTTCTACGAGGGAACCACCCTTGGAGATTTGTCCAACCAAGTTTGAGTACACTTAAATTGGGAAAATCCATGAAAAACTCTGGAAAAGGAGCAGCATATTGAATTCATGCACCAACCAACTCATCCAAAAGTCCGAACTGACGGAGGGAGGTGGGCAATATATTTCAACACTCCCCCTCTCGTGTAGGCTATTTCAGTTCTTAGACGTGGGATCGATGTAGGCCGCAGAATCGTTTTATTTAATACTGCGT